ACTACATTTAGAAGAGGAATTTATTTTAGGGAACTTAGTGTTTGGAAATTCCCCAACAAATAGAGTCTAGTCACAGCAGAGTCAACATTTTGCTGTTTTTCTGATAAATAAGTGCATAGGACCTACTATTATATGCATACTATGTGCCAGATACTCTTCTAAATGCTTATTGTTAATTTACTCATTGAATCCTCACAAGAACTCTCTGTAAGTTAGCAAACTGAGGCACAGAGGAATCAAGTAATTTGTCCACATTCTCACAGCTAGTGAATGGCAGAACCGGGGCCCAAACCCTGCTAATTTCTGTTCCCTTGTATTTATTGAAAGATTTTTTTTTAATGACCTTTGTTCTTAAGAGACATTACCACTGGCCTTGCATACTCCACTGAAGTCATGGCTGTCCCCACAGGCCCTCTGACCCAGCACAGTGGTTTGTGGGATGGTAGATTTTCCACCTCTGGTCCATAAATTAAGGTTAATAAAGAGCCATGGCTGAAGCTAAGATCCCAAGGTTCAGCGGTAGATTTCAAAACCTTCAGCTCTGCTAGTGGAATTCCGCTCACGCACTCAAGGATGGGTAGGTCTGGGAGCCAAATTCCAAATGGAAAGTGGAATTAATTTATTTCTATTCTTAAACAATGAGGCTCTGGGAAAGTACAAGTCTCCTTCAGAGCTTCCAATACTTCCACCCGTCTTACATGATGCTCAGAGGCGAGAATGTTCATCATCATCATCAACAAGAACAGATAGTGATTGAGCATCTCTGCTGGGCAAGATGCCAGGTACTGTGTGGAATAGAGATGAGTAGGATAAAACCCCGCCTTTAAGCAGCTTACAGGCTAGAAGCAGATTAACTGCAATTCAAAGAAAAATGTCGCAAGTGTCATAATTATTTCTCTGCTTCTGGCTTTTGGCCAGTCTCCTTTTTAACCAACAAGGTGGGTACTGGAAGAAAGGGGGTGGGGGCAGCTACTGGTGAATGTCACTGGGGCTGCATTTCCTGAGCAGAGAAGGCTTGGGTCAAACTAGGCAGAGAGGGGACACTTTGATAACCAGGGGATGATGGCCGAGCTGAAACTTGATAGTAAGAGAGGACTTTTGAAAAGACATGCTGAGAAGCAGGAAAGAACTAGAAAGAAGGAGGGACCTCACTGGGGCAGCAGAGATGAAGGAGGCTGAAAGCAGGGAGAAAGGACAAGATGGGCAGGAGTGTGCACATGAGTCAGGCCTGTGCTGAGGACACATAGGAAATGACTGAGGTGGCAGGTGACAGGCAACAGCCGGAAGAGCCCCCCAAGGGCAAGTCCTATCAGGGCCACCTACTGCCGAGCTCTGCTTTGAGATGGGACAGTGGCAGGCTCCCTCTGGTAGCCCTGGCCAGAGGACACCCAGACCAAGTTTGAAGGGACCTGGCTCTAGGGATAAGGAATGTCCCATCTCTCCGAGGCAGACTCTACATCTTCTTTGGCTTTAAACAACTCTGAGTCTGCTACCTCCACAAGCAGGGCTATCTCCTTAAGAGCATGGAGGCGAAGGGATGCTGGTGGGGGGCGGGGGTATGAATTTTCCTAAGCTCCAGTCTACTGATTTATTGCTGAGTTTGCCACCTGTGTCTCTACAGTGCAATGAGGTTCCAGATTATTTTGGGTTTGGTTTTTAAAGCCCCCCATTTCCCTTGACCTGAAGCAAGCTCTTCCCTCATTTTATCAAACCCAGTAATTCTCTACCTTTTTGGACACAGATCCACCCCCTCAGGGTCCACAATGCCATGTGGATCATAGCCATAGAGTGACACCTTCCTGGCCTTCTTTTCAGAAGCCTATGACAGAAACTAAACCTCTCCAGTCTAAGGCTCAAGCAGACATATGCTTGATATAAGAGGAAGTCTGAATTGATTGTTAAGAATTTGAAGAGCCAGAGAAACAGGAAGCAATGAGAAACAAAAGCATCCCCCAGGTCTGAGCCATGGGACCATCTACTCTGGCAGCCCCGTCGGCCACAGCCAAAGGTAAGTGTAATTAGGTTACACACATTATTTGGTCAAGGTGGGTGGGCGAAGCCATTTGTCTGATGATGCTACGTGCCGGCCTCTTCCACTGGAGTGACAACAGGACCACTGTCAAAGAGCCTCAAACTTCCAATTGCTTTCAGCATCCTGCTCTGGCAGGAAATTATTTAGTCCTTCTCAAGGGCTCAGGGTCTACTAGTTTATACATGGACACGGACCTATGACTTTTTACTGGTGATGTTTTATTTTAAAATTTTTTCCACTATCATGTAAACAATAAAACTTTAAATCTCCCATTATTTTGCCATTTAGCACAACTACTAGCATAATTTAGGTGTATTTGTCCAATGTATATGGAGCTTTTATAGGTATATAATTACAATTTACACAAAGTTTTTTAAAACATTTTTAATTGTGGTAAAATATAAATAACACAAAATCTGTTGTCTTAACTATTTTTAAATGTACAGTTCACTAGTATTAAGATTATTCACATTATTGCGTAACCAACAGATCTCCACAAGTTTTTCAACTTGCAAAACCGAAACTCTAAACCCATAAAACAACTCCTCATTTCTTCCTCTCCCCAGATCCTGGAAACCACCATTCTGCTTTCTGTTTCAGTGAATTTGATCACTCTGGATACCTCAGATAAGTGAAATCGTACAGTATTTATCTTTTTATCTCTGGCTTATTTCACTAATTATAATAACTTCAAGATTCAGCCATTTCATAGCGTATGTCAGAACTTCTTTCCCTTTTAAGGGTGAGTCCGCTGTTTAAGGCTGAGTCCACATTCTGTTTCTCCATTCATCCAAATGGTGCTCATTTGTGTTGCTTTCACCTTTTGGCAAATGTGCATGACGAATGTGCATAAAGTTTTATATCCTACCTTTTCACTTCCTGTTATAACATCTACGTATATACATATATAATTTTTCCAGGTTGATTTGTACTCTTCTCAATAATCTTTTTTCCTCTGTTTTAGTAGTAACATGACAGTCCTTCAAGCCCATGTACTTAAATATTTTTCGACATTTCGATACTTGACATAGTTCCAATTTTTCCCTAACTACTGGTTACATTTCGATACTTGACATAGTTCCAATTTTTCCCTAACTACTTTTTGTACCCATGATATTCCCCCCAAATTTTAGCTTATTTTGGTGGGGGGGAATAGATTCCTAGAAGTGAAATTACTGGTTAAAAAGGTATAAATGTTTTATGACTTAATAGACAAAAGATAGAAAACCAAATTGCCCTCTAAAATAATTGTATCTATTTGCATAGCTACTAATAGTGTATACAAATTTCTATTTCACCATACTCACACCAGCGTTTTTGTTTTTTATACATTAAAAAATTAAACAAGAGGAAGATAAGAGTTCATTCCTGTTTAGTAGACAACACTCTGATTATTAATAGTGATGGATATTCATGAGAGCACCCTAGGCTTGGCTAGCCTGTGACTACTAATATGGTTACAGTTGAATGAAATATATATAATGTATAATATATATAATATATATGTATACATTAGAAACATGCCTGACATGTAGTAGGTGCTCAATAAATGATGGCTATTATTATGGTTGCAGTTGTTTCTATTAATGCCCAAAGTATGATGATTCTCAGCCTGTGCCTGCTCTCTCAGGTTCTCTGCTCCCCTAAACCATGGTTTTCCAATTATTTGGGGCACTCCCATTTGGGCAGTATCTCAGAACACTTTTTCTTCCCTGTAGAGGTGCTCTACCCAGCCCTCAGCTGCTGGTGTTCTCTGCTAGGCACAGTTTTGCCTTGCTGGTGGCTGTCCTAAGCCCTCAGAGCACCAGAACTGCACTTAGAGTGGAGAGCATGGTGGCCAACGTGTCACCTGGGTTTCAAACAGGACACTTTCTTATGCCCAGAATCTTTTAAAAGTCTTTTTTACAGCTCTTCCATCTTTTGGCCCTAACCCACTCTCTCCATAGAATCCGAGGCCACAGGGTGTGTAAAGAGGCCAACATGCCAAGCTCCTTGGGGTAGACAAAGCAAACAATGCTCCTCAAGAGATGTCCACACCTAATCCTGTGAATATGTTATCTTACTTGGTAAAAGAGACTTTGCAAATCTGATTAAGTTCAGGATCTTGAGATGAGGAGATTATCCTATGATATCTGGATGGGCCCAGGTAATTACATGAATTCTTATAAGTGGAGGAGGGAGACAGGAGCCTAGGAGTGGGGTGTTGCTAACTGAGAGTAAGAGTTAATTCTGTGCTGCTGTCTTTGAAGTTGGAAGGACCCCCCAGCCAAGAAATGCAGGAAGCTTCTAGAAGCTGGAAAAAGCAAGGAAACAGATTCTTTCCTAGAGTCTCCAGAAAGATTGCAGCTCTAGCCAACACCTTGGGCCTTCTGACCTCCAGAATTCTAAGATAATACATACGTGTTGTTTTAAGCTATTAATTTTGTGGTAATTTGTTACAGCAGCCATAAGAAACTCCTACACTCCCCTAATGTCCTGACCTCCTCCCCCTATTTCTCTTTCCAGATTGCCTTTAAAGCTCTTCCCTTCTTTATTAGCCCTAAAGTGGAAGTCCCCAGGTTAATTCATACAATTAGGAGGGTCCTATCAGTTCCACAGTTAGGAAATTTCTACAGCGATTCTTGCTCATTGGTTGTATTTGTTCTTTTGTAAATTGTTTATGGTCTTTGCCCCACTGATGACTCTTAATATCAGAAAAATATAGATCTACAGTGCCACTCCAAGATCCCACAATGAGCTGCACTCTCTCACGTAGTCATCCATCCAGTTATCCATCCAAGAAATATTTACTGGGCCAGGTATTGAGCTAGTATTGGGATGTGAAGATGGCAGCACAAAATCTAAACCTTTATAGAGGCCATAGGTGTTGGATTTTTATGGCTTGAGAACAACATGCTTAGATTTTTTTTTTTTTGGTCCTCTGGGTGTTCAAAGATTTGTTTCTTTCCAGAAAACAATTAGGGTACGAGGAGCCTCTTTGACTAAGTAACAAGGGACAGGAACTGCACTCTGGTTCCATTTTGTATTCTAATTTGTATTCAGACCCATGCAAGAGTTAAAGAGTTTGATGCTAAATAAGCACAGATGGAAACCAGCGCAGCCCAGTGCATCTTTGCTTAGGATAATTTCTCCTCTCTTTATTTTCTCCAGTCCTGCCTTCCTGCCTCTGACGCAGGGAGCTAAGGGTCTGAATGAAACCTATTGGAGGTTCCAATTAAATTTTTGTGAACAAAGGGCACACATGGTTTCTCAGATAACAGGTGGCAATAAATCCATCAGCACATCCAGCTTCAGAGAACAGAGTCCCCGCTGAACTGCTAACAGCTGCCAATATCTCATGAGTACCTCACACAAGATGGGGTCTAAGGTAAGAAGTTTCTCTCTTCAGACAAATTTAATCCTTCCTTGTAAGCTGTGTCTCTCAACAGAAAATTTTGATTCTAACATAAAGTTTATGACAGATTTGTTGACAAATTTCCGTTTTTGTTGGTTGATTGGTTAGTTTGATTTGGTTTGTTTGTTCATTCTTTGGTCTGTCTTTAAAGTACTTATTTTATTCCATTTTGCATTTTTTAGTTTTCTATTGTTTACTTTAAGTCTCTTTACTTATTATTTAGAAATTTGTATTTAGAAATACTTTATACAGAAAAATGAGGGATCTTAAATGATTGCGTATATTTTCTGATTTAAACTTATCTGGGGATTTGGTGCACTGGGGACTCTTGGTTACTTAGAATCTCAGTATGGACAATGTTCTTTTTTCCAACCCTGGTCTTACAACAGAATAGAGTAGTTCGGTGCTTGAGATACTTTCAACAGTTGAGGCTGACTCTTGAACCCCAATGATAAACATTTAACGTTATTTACTTACGTTATGAATGTAGTTAATTATAAAACATTTAGAAATTACAGAAAAGGAAAAAGAAGATAATTAAGTCATTGATTATAATAGCTGACATTTGGGTAGGTATCTCTCTAGTCTTAAAAATGTACACATAAATTTCTTTTTAGATAATTAAGGTCAAACTATAAATACGGTTGATATCTTTTTTAAACTTAACATTGTATTGAGTATTTTCTAAATCATTGAAATTATTTTAAAACATGATTTTAAGAGTTGTTTATATTCCACTATTAACGTGGGGTTTTTTTTTCACTGATATAAATAATTTGGCAGTTCATAATTTTGCACATAAATCTTTGACTGCATTTCAGATCATTTCCTTAGGATTGTTCTTAGAAGCAGAGTTACCAAATCAAAGGATACACAATTTTTAGAGCCTGTTGTATTTAGTGGCAGTAATCTATTTTAAAATTTATATAATTGGTGTTATAGATACAGTAGCAGAAACTAGATAAAAGAAAATTAAGTTCTTGCCAGAAACTGTTACTACCTGAAGTTTAACAAGATACTGTTACTTAATGCTGACTAATGACATGAAATCCTAAGTAGAAAACTAACTTTGAAAGTTAATATTTCATTTATGCAGAGCGACACACCTTTCTGAGAAGGGCTTTATAGTTTCAACAGAAGAATAGGAGAGCTTCTAGTACCACAGAGCACGGGACGATGGTGGAGTACAATCCTGCAAGTTATAGAGCTTTTCATTCCAGTTTGACACTGGTTTTGTGACCCGAGACAAATCTCCCAGCCTCGTCTCAGATTTCTCATCGGCAACATAAAAGGGCTAGTCTAGGTTAGTGGTTTTCAATTGGCAGCATGAGTCACACTTGTGGCACATGAGATATTTTGAGTGATACATAGATATAAACCATAATTTTTATTGGCATGGCACACAGTTTTTTTTTTAAACAACTTTTCCAGTTTTTTTAAGTAGATTTAGAGAATAAGATTAAGTAAATAATAGTACAATAGTCCTCAGATATGACATGACCATTGAGGCGATGGACAAACATCTGACATTTGAGAAACAAAAAGTTAGAATCCTCATAATGTGCTAGTGGATTCCAGATATAAAAAACGGGTGAGTGGTGCTTACTTGGAAGGCATTCTGGCAACCAGGTAGAGTTATTAAGACGTTTAAGAAGTGAGCAGAGAGAGACAAAGGCATTGATAAATTTCCAAATATCATCCTACTACTTGCAACTCCTTGTACTTTTTATTTTAATAGTGAGTCTCACTGGCCTGGGCAGACTTTCTCCCCTCTTCTGTAAAGGCTGCAGAAGACCTGTACGTAAGTGTAACAGGTCTTCCCTAAGAACCTGGAGGAGAGACGGCCCGGCCCAGTCCTCACCATGCTCAGGGTGGTTTCGGACGCCCCTCGGCGGTTGCTGCAGGAGGGGAGAGAGTCCCGGAAGCTGGTGCTGGTGGTGGTGTTTGTGGCTTTGCTCCTGGACAACATGCTGCTTACCGTGGTGGGTACGTCTGGGGTCTCTGCGCTGAGGGTGGTCTGCCCTGGGCAGGGTCATACACACGCTGCTAGCTTTTAGCCAGGAATGGACTGGAGAGAGTTTCCTTTTACGCTGGAAAACACACAGAGGTGGCCAGGAAATGGAAGAGATGGCGGGAAATGGAGTCTGAAGCTTGCTCACCATCGCTGAAAGCCTAAGAGGTTCAAAAAGTAGGAGCTTCACAGAGCATCTGACCAAAAAAGAGGCCGACCAGAGCCGGAATTGGCGTTACTTTCTTCCTCCCCATGCTGCCTTCCCCAGGACTCCAAGTGGCCTCTGTAAGAGGGGGCACCTTCTCACTATGTCGCCTCTCCAGGCTCTGGTCTACCAAAATAACGTATTTTATATGAATATCCAACTTGTTATATATCTACCTTTCTGGTGGTTCACTCCCTCAGAGCTCTGCTTTTTAAAGTTGATAGTCTTTCCTTTACATTCGGTTATGCCAGTAGATAAATGGATGCTAAAAATTTGTCCCTCTTGGGTGAAATATATGCTTTTAAACAAGAAGCTTTCTGAGACAAATTGTTAATCCAACTTCATCAGTTCTCATTATATGTGGTAGTTATGCCTTCTAAAGTCACACTGCAAACACTGAATTGAGCCAATCTTGAATCATTGCTCCTAGGGGAGATACATAAAACTCACGTCCCATAAAGATTATAATCTTAAATCCTAAAAATGATGCATCCTGGTAGATTCTATTTTCTTTACAAAAGAAAAAAACGAGTTTCAGAGTGTGAAGTGACTTGTCTGAGGCCGCCTCACTAATAGGTGCCAGGGCTGGGACCCAAGCCCTGTCCAGCTGGCCCAGAGCTGGAGCTGCTTGCCCTGCACTCACCTGCTCCTCCCGTCTCCCTGCTCTGCCAACTCTGCATGAGAGTCGAAACTAGAAGGCAGAGCCCGCCTTGTTCAACCTCAGCTGGAAAAGTGAGCATCTGGCGACTCAAAATTTTTCCAGTCTTGGCATGTATGTCCAAGAAACATCATGATAGCTCCACGAGTATCAATTTTGTGATTGCAGGTAAATTGTAGCCGGTAGGCGAATTAGCCAATAATGAGGACCAATTGTGTAATGATTGGTACTTCAGCTAATAGGATAATTTGGGCAGGCACAGTCTTTCAATGGGCTTCATATCACGTCACTTAGACACCTGCCTGGAGCGTGACTCTGAACCCCATAGCAATGCCCCTGAACCGACTAGTGGTAAAAAGACAACCTGCTCTTAGCCCTCATGACTTGTCCTTCTTGACTTCCAGTGCCCATCGTGCCCTCCTTCCTATATGCCACAGAATTAAAAGAAGTCAACACTTCTCTAGACCTCGGCCCCGCCACGAGTTCCCGGCACGCCCTCCCTTCTCCTGCCTTTTCCGCCATCTTCTCTTTCTTCGATAACTACACCATGGCTGTTGAAGAAAGTGCGCCCAGGGGCATGGCATGGACAAATGGCACTTCCGGCACCGTCACCCCTCCAGTCACTGGAGCCCTCTCAGCCCATAAAAACAACTGCCTGCAGGACACACAGTTCTTGGAGGAAGAGAACGTACGAGTCGGGGTTCTGTTCGCTTCGAAGGCTCTGATGCAACTTCTGGTCAACCCGTTCGTGGGGCCTCTCACCAACAGGTATCTCACTGGGTGCTCAGGGGCTTAGGAATAAGAGGATGGGCTGAGATATCCTCAAGGAGGTTAGAAGGGAAAAGAAAAAAACTCACCTTTCTGTGCCCTAGGACAGTCAGCTGTTTGGAAAGCTAGTTATTCCAAAGGATAGCATGACATGGATAGAATGCCATGGGCTTCACATTTTCTTAGTGATATAATGAGTATTGAGTACCAGAGAGAGAATCAGTGAACAGAAGTATACCGTTGATGTGTCCTGAAACATGGCTCCAATGGGTTGAGGATGGAAATGAGACAGGCCTGTTGCAATCTAGAGCACTGGCAGCTGTGTTTGGGATTATCCTGCCGTTTCAAAGGGACGTACGCTCTGACTAGGCTATCTTTTCCAGAAAAGAATATTTTGGCCCTGGTCTATGGGTAAATTTGCATGTTTGGTTATTTGCTTATACACATTCACATGTCATAACCTATCTCCACACCTGCATTCAGAGACATGTTTTAGTATGTACTCAAATAACTGAATTTCTCTTCCCAATTACATGAAAATGTATAGTCCAAAGATATGGCTGTCTATTGGAACAGTCTCTCTTTTTTTTTTATTTCTCTTTTAGGATTGGTTATCACATTCCCATGTTTGCTGGCTTTGTTATCATGTTTCTCTCCACAGTTAGTAAGTAATTTGCTTCCCTTTTTTCCCTTCACTGTTTACCTTTGATTTTATCATGTTCCCAGCAGCGGAGAGAGAAGGGTCAAGTTAGCCAAGTGGCATATGGTGCTGATTTGAATGCTTTGAAGTTTTTGCTATGGGGATTAGAGTGACTGGTTCTAATTGAAATTTGTATGTTCTGTTATGGAACAGACACTTCACTTCCTTCAGCTGGGGAAAATTGTGTCTGCCATTTTACTGTGTATGCTAGTGTGTGTGTGTGTGTGTGTGTGTGTGTGTGTGTGTGTGTGTGTGTATCAGTAATCCCTTGAGTGAGTTCAGTACAAACCTCCCACCCTTGGGAAGAGGTCGTATTATTTTGATACGCAAAGGTAAAGGGCAACTAATGAAGAATCTAAATTGGACAAGAGCAACTGGAAAATTCCCAAAAGTCTACTTCGAGTAAGAACATTAAAGTTTAAGAAATGTTCTAATTTAGGACAATAAATTTGCTAAAGACACAAGAAAGAGAAAGACAAATAGCCTATCCAGTATCAGACGAATGTTCCTAATAAAATGGAGATGGAACAAGAACAGAAAGTGGGGGGAGGGGAATGTCTGGAAATTGACCCTGAGTGTTAAAACAAGAAGGAAGAAATGGAGTTCTGGTTAATGCAGGAGAATGCAGCCTGTGGACCCACTGGTAGCTCATGACGCCTCTGCTGACTCTCTACTCCAAACGACATACCTCCTGATACCTCTGGTTTTTCTTACCACCTTTCTGTTACTTCTCCGCTTTTTCTATCGCTTCCCCTCAATTTTTCTTCCCTTCCAGCGTCACATTCAGGGCTGGAGGCTGCAAAATACAGGAGCTTGATGTGTGAAGTTCTGTCTGGAAACGGCAGCTTGTTTGCGAAAATTCCAGCTGAATCAAAGAAAATGAGGAAATTCAAATTAGAAATGTTTCTCAACCTTCTAGAGGCTCAACCTATGCTAAACAGTAAATTAAAAACTAATAAGATGCTTTGTTTCACCAAATGAGACATAATTCATTCCCCCAAAACTTTATGGAGCATACATATTATGCTTCAACGGCAAAAGTCGCTGAGAAAATGTAAAGAATGAAAAGACACGTTTCCAGCTCCCCAGGTGTTTATGATGCTTTTACCAGAGAGAGTTTGTCCACTGGGCCCTAGCAGAGCCTGAACACCTGAAAATTCTGTGGAGAAATTCTGGCTATTTTATTATGAATGGCGCCACCCAGGAGAAGGGGAAGCTAATGCTCAAAAGCCCGAACTCTCTGGTGGCCTGTAGGTGACAGATTATGTAGGGCAAAGTCACAAGACACTGTGGGTTAGGGGGTTCCGGGTTGTGCTGGGAGCTGAAGACAGTTCTGAGGTCTATTCCAACATCCCTCTGTCTGTTCTCATGGAAAAGTAGCCAGGGGTTCATTCCACCTTAGTTAGGGCTCAGGAGCTGAAACATAACTTAGCTCAAGATGTTATCTAGTCTGGCAGAGGTCTGGACCACATGATCTTTAGTCAGGTGTGAGCTATTGTCCTCTGTTCCCCTAGGGGTTGCTGATTATCTTGGGGAAAGGCTAAGTCTCTGAAGTCTCTGAGGGGTGCCCTAGGGGTTGCTGATTATCTTGGGGAAAGGCTAAATCTCTGAGGGGTGAGTAGGGGGTGTGTGTGTGTGTGTGTGTGTGTGTGTGTGTGTAGAGAGAGACAGACAGACAGACAGACAGACAGACAGACAGAAAGCATTTCTAAAGCTAGGGTTTAAAGCTAAATTTAAGTAAAGTCATAAGGGCCCTCGGCTTCAATGCTTGCCTGGGGAGACCTGACAAATACCCTGCAGAATAAGATAATGCTAGAGAATCCCATACTCTTCAGCATAAGGTCCTCACCTGATTCTCTGCCAAGAATTCATGTTTCAAAAGCTTTTCTCATCTACCAAACTGTAGATGTTAAATAATAATTATTGTTGCCATGCCATACCTAGTGTTGCTATACTGAGTTGGCCTGATTCTAGCAAAGTCTTGGTGTTTAGTGTCTCCTGCGTCATATTGGGGTTAGGATTTTTAAAATACTATGAAAAGGTTGCTGCTGTCCATTACGACCCTTAAAGGCCTCCAACTGGGAACCTTGCTTAATGCGATTAGGAGCTAAATGGTGGCCTTGGTTAGGATGCAAAGTGAAAAAGAAATTGCCCTGGTGTATCTGGGTAGGGTAACCAACCACCCTCCTCCTTTGCCTGGGATTAAGGGACCTCCCAGGATGTGAGACTTTGGCTTTTAAAACCAGGAAAGCCCTAGGCAAACAGAGACGAGCTAGTCATTGTATTCTCCAAAGAAATGGGAAGAGCCGACTTGAACAGATTGGAAATCAGAACCCCTGGGAGACAGAACCAGAGGAGAGGCCAAGCACATACGTGTTTGGGAGACGGTGTGATCATGTCGGGAGGACTAGGAGATTATAAGACATCAAACAAGCAAAGACATCTGTAATGAATGGGCAAGGGATCCCAATTCTGCTGATGCAGACACTCAGGGAAGGAGTCTTCTGTCTTCCTAGGGCATTGCCCTGGTACTGGAGGTGAGACGCGTCTGCACTGACCAGCCTACCACCAACACCCTGTAATTTAGTTTTTGATAACAGGTTCCCGTTTGGTTCTCAGTTTTGTGTATGTTAGTCTCTAGCAGACTCAACTCTCCAGGGGCATGAACTGGATGTCTCCTTATTTCACATCTGCTACAGAGTCTAGCAAAGCTACATGTTCAGTATTACTTAGTAAATACTTATTCTTTTGGCTAAAAGATCTTCCAATATAAGGTAAAGGGAAAGATCTGATTGGATAGCAAGATATTATTTCAATATCTACCCAATACATATGGTCCTTAAAAAACATGCAACATTTATCTCTGTCCTCCAGATGACCTAATGGGGCCCAACAATGGCAAAAGTCAAGTTTGGGTGTTGCATATGGAGGATCCAGACGTAGGATCTAAGGCCACTTCCCAGTCCAGGGCATTGGACTTGTTGGACAGCCCTGATTCCAGTGCACATGGTGTTGGATGTTGGGCTTTGGGCAGGAAATGTGGAAATCCAGCCTTCCATCCACTGTGTGGCGAATTGGTTTATGCTTCTTGGTTTCTAAGTCTTCATGCCAACTAAAATGCAATCCTGATTAAGGGGTGGGAGATTAGAAAGGCAACTCCAAAAACAGGGAGAAGTGAGCATGACTTATTAAAACATATACAAAATGGTTCATATCTCTTACATCACAGGCACGTTTTCTGGTGGCCGGGGAACAAAGGCAATTTGCTAACTGGAACTTCTTGCTATTCTATTTGCCCAGTGTTTGCTTTTTCTGGTACCTATACCCTGCTCTTTGTGGCTCGAACCCTACAAGGCATTGGATCTTCATTTTCATCTGTTGCAGGTAATGCTGACATCTTCACACACACGCACACACACACACACACACACACACGAACTCACACACACACACATGCATGCACATATTACCTCTCTTACCATCTCTTAATACCTTTAGACACTATAAGATTTACCTAAAGAAATTAAAGAGCCTACAGCCGTGCCACCCTGAACAAGCCCGATCCCATCTGATCTCAAAAGCTAAGCAGAGTTGGGCCTGGTTAGTACTTGGATGGGAGGCCACCTAGGAAGATCAGGTGCTATAGGCATAAAAAATAAAAAAAAATAAGGGATTGTAAGCTGACAAGGTCCTTGCAATCTGTGAAGTCAACTAAGGGTTGCCTTGCCTAAAAAAATAATAATAATAAAAATTTAAAAAAATAAAGAAATTAAGGAAAATATCAAGCATCCCTAGATCATCCCAGTCAAACCAAAAATAAAAAAATTAAGGGAAAAAAAAATAGGAGGCAGAAATTGGAATTCAAAATCAAGATAATTGTAGAGTTGCTGGCAGTGCTTATAAGTTCCTGACTTAACTTCCTCTGATGATGTTTAGATGGAGCCAGCTCAGCTCAGAGCAAGCCCGAGGTAAAACCATGAAATAAGCCAAGCTTTTACTTAATCCTCTATGGTCTTTTCTCTGTCCCCTCTTGCCATTTTATAGGAACGGTGATGTTAATACTACCAGTAAAACCATTGCAGTTTGCAAATACAATGTTGAATGTCATCCTGTGCCATTTTACACGTGGGGGAATGGACGTGAGAGCCCAGCCCGTGCTCTCTTCCAGGCACTCGGTGCCTTCATACTTGTCCCGGGGCATTCTTGTCGAACAGAACAGTGCTCTGTGTTTATAGGTTTTCCCTTCCTTGACCTACTCCATGTCCATTCATTCAGGGAAATATGCTAGGAAATGCTAAAATAATATGAAATGCGGTGTCATGGGACAATGGTATTCTGTGTTCCGTTCCCAGAGACTTTTCACTTCCAACAATATTCTGAATAGAAGGAGTGAGCAATGTGGGAGTTTGGGGGATCAGTGAGGCAGTATTGGTAAAATACTATGGGTTAAGTTTTATAAAACCCCTCAAGCTGAAACACCAGCCAAGATGATCCCTGAAGATGTAACTGAGCAGAGACCAGGACCCTGTGAGAGAGGCAGACAGAAAACTCCTCCATTCTAACTTCATCTGTTACTCTCAGGTCTTGGGATGCTGGCAAGTGTCTATACTGATGACTACGAGAGAGGCCGTGCCATGGGAATCGCCTTGGGGGGCCTGGCTTTGGGAGTGCTGGGTGAGTGGCATCTGACCCCAGACCTAGATTCGGGAGGGTGAGGTCCCGCAGACTCTGAAGATGGCTCCAGGAGGCAGGTGCTCCTGAGGTCGTGGAAGACAATATTTTCCTTCCTTCTCTGTCCAATCACATTTTGAGTCCTGAAATTTTGCCCATGAAATGTGAACCTTTTCCCCTCTAGAAGCTAAACAGCCTAGAAGGGCCTGGGAATGATCCAGAATCCTAGTCTACTCAAGAGGGTGCCTCTCCTCATGTTAGCTGCCACTGCTTCACCGCGGCTTCCCCACATGTCCAGCTTTCAACATGAGGGCATGCTCCTTTTCAGACGATCTCCTTTGATCCTCACCACCACACTATGAAGGAGGAACGATTGCCCCCATCGTAGAGATGAGGATAAGAGAGGTGAGACAGTCATCCGAGGTCACACAGCCAGGCTATGCCAGAGCCAGGACACAAATGTAGATTTTCTAGGCTTGAATCCCAAGCTCCAAACCATCAGGTTGTAGTGTCTTTGAGGTCCATCCCTCAAAGACGGTTTAATTGACCAGTCCGACGAGCCACGTACTTTCACTGAGCACTGATTACGTGCAAGTGCAGGGCTGGCACAGAGGGGATGCAGTGAACGAGCTTCAGACGTGGCTCCCTCCCTGTAGCACCTTACAAGCTGACCGGGGAGAAAACAACAAAAGTTGCTTCCCCGGCACAGACTCCGCCCTCTACTACCATGGGGAAGAGATGGAACAAAACCCCCTCTTAATTTGTCCCCACCTACCCAAGCTAAAACCCGTACATCCTGGTCTCCTTTCTCACCTCCCGCTCCCAAAAGAACATGCCCATTATATCCCTCACTGGGTACGCTGTGACAAGGTCAGCGTCTCGTCACAGCTCACTTGGAATATGGCACCAGCCTCCCGATCTCTCGCACAGTCTCTCCTTCCTCCAAGGTGCTGCAGAAGAAGCTCCCTATGTCCAGAGCTGGTGGTGTTTCTCCCCCGCTAAAAAGCACTGATGTTTCTCTCTGGCCACAAGGCCATGTCTTTATCTGGATACGCGGGTTCCTTGGCTATTTGGCCTCAACCTTCCCAATCTCTACTCTTCCTCTCCCAAACACTCACATGCTATAACACTGACTGCCTTCTATTTCTCCTCCAGCCACACTCTCTTTTCTGACACCTTTGTGCTCTTCACACCTGAATCTTCCCCACCAGTACCGCCCACCTGACAAAGCCCAGGTAGCTACCTGAACTCACTCCACTGGACTTACGAGTCACTTTGTAGATGGAAGCTTTACCATTGAACTTTACTTTTCACCATGTTCTAATTATTTGGGCCCCTCGGCCCCGCACCATGCACATTTTCTCCATTAGAATGTGAGTCTCTTGGAACCGGGTCTTCTTCATCTCTGAATCCCCAGAACCTCATGTGCAGCTCAGCCCCAAGTAGGCCTTCAGTAAACATGGGGGGTCCACGTGAACAAGTCACACTAGCTGGTACTGGCCCTCACCTCGGGAATCTGTGCCTGCTTTGCCTTTCCAGCGGGAGCTCCCTTCGGAAGTGTGATGTATGAGTTTGTTGGGAAGTCTGCCCCCTTCCTCATCTTGGCCTTCTTGGCACTACTGGATGGAGGTAAGTCCCCGTAAGAGGCCATCAGAGAGGTCAGGTGGAAATGCGTTAAGCTGTGGGGTCAGTCCTGACATGTTTGAATGGATCGAGGACGGCCCCCTCGCAGGAAAGAAGGAAGAAACGCAGGGAGTCAGAGCTGTACATGATCGGGGGAGAGCAATGTGGCTGTTAGGAGCCTCCAACTAATCAGTGGACAAACTTTCTTTCTTAGCACTCCAGCTTTGTATCCTACAGCCTTCCAAAGTCTCCCCAGAGGTAAGTAGACACCAAGCTCTATCGCCATATAGAATGGCTAAGTGCAGTGGCCCAAGCGTCCCTAGATCATCCCAGTCAAACCATAAAAAGAAAGGTAAAGGGCAATGGAGTCAGGGAAAGTGAGACCTGTACTTAGGTTCTCAGATAGGGTCATATTGAGAGTAGTGTGGAGGAAGGCGAGGGTGTCCGGCTTGATGTTGGATGAAGATGGAGGAAGGGCCTTAAGAAGAATCAAAGAAACCGTTAGATAGATAGATAGATAGATAGATAGATAGATAGATAGATAGATAGATAGATAGTAGATAGATAGATAGATAGATAGATAGATAGATAGAGATAGATAGATAGATAGATAGATAGATAGATAGATAGATAGATAGATAGATAATAGATAGATGTCATATACTACATAACAATGTTTTGGTCAATGACAGACCACATATACAATGATGGTCTCATAAGATTATAATAGAGCTGAAAAATTCCTGTCCAGTAGTGATGTTATAGCTGTTCTGACGTCATAGCCATCGTAATGTCATGTATCATGTGTTTATGGTATAAACAAACCTACTAGGCTGCCAGTCGTATAAAATTATGTGCAGTACATTATACTTGATAATAATAATAACTATGTTACTGCTTTATATACTTTCTATGCTACACTTTTTATCATTATTTTAAAATGTACTCTATTTATGAAAAAAGAGTTTGATATAAAATGGCATGCCGTGTTATGCTGGCAGCACCCCCATCCATCTCGTGTTTACTGTGTCTCTTGCTTGCACCGTTTCTCTTGTGCTTGAATTAATATCGTGTTGTTTTGTATAGTAACATGCTGTGCAGGCTTGTAGCCTGGGAGCAATAGGCTATGCCATACAGCCTAGGTGTGTAGTAGGCTAGACCATTCAGGTTTGTGTAAGTGCGCTTATGTCGTTTGCACGATGACTAAATCATCTAGCGATGCATTTCTCAGAAAGTATCCCCATCACTAAGCAGCATATGACTATATATATTCATGTGTTAATATGCGTATACACATATAAATACTTTTTAACTCAGAACCAGGAAGGAGACAATGACTTTGGGACCTGAGTATTCACAATTATAACATCTCAGAGCTAAAGAAGACAGTAGAGGCCATCTGGGCAACCTCTCCCCACAAGAGCGCCCTTACGGACTGTCATTCTGTCACAGTTAAATATCAGAGTTGCTATTTGTCTGACTCCAAGCCAAAGATGGCTCTGGGAAATCCATATCAAACCATGAAGAAAGATAAGAAAGTGCAAAAAACATGGGAAAGTTTGATCTAAATATCTTGATTTTGTGGCCAAGTCAGACCAAAGTGCAGGTATCTTAGAGACCCACCACCTGTGATCGGCATCCGAAGCGGGGCAGCATTGTGCACCTGAGCCCTGGCCCTGTGAGCTCTGCATGAACACCAGGTTCGTGCCTTCTCAGACTCTATGAAAATAGGAGGTATATGCACTGTACAAATGGAAGTTTTTCTTGTCCCTGTTCTCAGAGTGCCAAGGGGACTCCAATCCTTACACTTCTCAAAGATCCTTATATCCTGGTGGCTGCAGGTGAGCTGACAATGCTTCCCTTTGGGTTGGGAGACCGTGGGCTTCAGGGCATCCTCGATGGCTCACAGAACTGTCCCCCCAGGCTCTCTCTGCTTTGCCAACATGGGGGTGGCCATGCTGGAGCCCACACTGCCCATCTGGATGATGCAGACCATGTGCTCCCCTGAATGGCAGCTGGGTAAGTGACCTCCATCCCCCTGAGTGACAGCTAGGTAAGTGGCCCCAGCTCAGGCTTGAGCAGAGGTGTGTGCTGTGGGCCCTTTCTCAGGTAATTGAAAAACATCATCAGGTCCAGGTCTTCAGGGTCACAGAGGGGGACAGCGTGCTTCCTTTGTAGAATTACCTGCCCGTTCACACCTGTGAATCAAGCCTGATTGGGTGGGAAGTCCCTCCAAGAAGCAGCTTGCGCAGGGCAGGGTGGGATCTATGAAGCAGCAACTTCCCGTGTGGTAGAACCGCTCGTGATTTCTAGTCGATGGGCCTAGGTTTTCATTTAGGCTCCGTTGATTGGCTATGCAAACTGTGCAAATCACAGAAACTTTCAAAGCATCACTTTCCTCATCTCTAAAATGGGCTTCAGAGTACTTTCTATTTCGAAGGTAATTTGAGGAATAAATGGCGTACTATATGGAGACGCTTTGCACCTGTAGAAAATTAATATGCATCGCCATCACCATCTTATTTTCTCCCTTCAACTCCGTTTCCCCCAGATTACCCTTTCACTATCTTTCCCACTCTAAAAAGTTGTTTCTGGAGCATGTCGTTCTATAGCTGTCACCTGGGAGAGGTGCTGGGCTCTCTACCCCAGTGGAGAGCCCTGGGCCCGGGGGAGAGGTCTCCAGCATCCTCTGCTCCATGGAGAGATGTCCTCGTGACCCGTCTGAGCTTAGAGAGAAGGTGCTGGCCCTTTCCAGGAAGCCTGGGGACAGGGACAGAGAAGACTACGTGCAAATGGCTCAGTCACTGCAGGGAGGAAAGTCTTCTGGGACCAGAGGGGAAGCTGCTAAAGGATCTGATACAGCCCACATGCAATGAAAAGCACTAAATCTAATTTTTAGGGACCGATTCTAAGCAAAGCTCCCAGCCCCAAATTGAATTTTTCTGGGCTGCAGCTGCCTCTGACCATAACACTTAATCGAGTTAGTGGGTGCTCAGTGCCAATCAGCATCCCCTGCCCGGAGGCTCCGGCCTTTGCAGGTGGGAACCAAAGCTCAAAACGCCCTCTCCAGCCTTCACCCACAGGAAAGAACATTCAAAGCAAACCAGCCACCAGCCAGTAACTGGCGAACTGTTGACTTTGAACTCAATTATGATCGACACAACAGTTTCTATTAGCACAATTTCCTCTGGGACAGGGAGGCAGAGAGGCAGGAGAGACCTGAGGAAGGTCACAGGGGGGTTCTACGCGGTGCCCCCGGCAGTCAGGGCTGTGGCAGAAAGCCCCTCGACAGTGAGTCAGGGCGCGAGGAGGAGGCTTTTCTTCCTCCGTGTTATCTGCATCAGATCGCCTGGAGAGCTTGTGACAACCCAGATCGCTGGGCCCCACCCAGCAATTCAGTAAAACAAGTTCGCCTTCCTAGTAAATTTCCCAGTGACGCTAAGATGACCTCATCGACCACACTTTGAAAAATATTGCTCTAAATGCAGAACACCTGTCACGTGTGGGACGGAGAGAAGGAGACCTGGCTTTTGAGAGGATTGGTGTCTGTGAATGAGCATTGTCTAACAGCCGCTGTGTGCCCAAAGCTTTTACTGAGCGCAGGCCTTGGAAACAGGCCCCGCTGGTTTTGAGCGCTGATGGCCTTGTACTGGTTGTGACTTCAGATAAATTATTTAACCTCTAGCGAACTCCACATTTTTCCTTTGGAAAAATGGAGCTGCTTTTCAGAGTTGTTTTAAGGATTAAATGGACCTATGAATTCTAAAGGGATTAGCACAGTGTGTGGAATGCAGGATATACTCCGTGAATAAAAATTATCACTATTTTCATCATTGTTTTTGTTTAAATCACTTTGACAATCACAGCTATGCATAATCCCCACTCCTTGAAGATGTGCTGTGAAAAATATATGTACGTCTATGGACATCTATTCTGGAACACCTATTTTACACGAAATGCCACTGAAATACAAGGTGTACCCAGGTCCTAAAGAACAGGCCACATCGATTAAGGACAACCTCATTCGTGAAATTCCATATCATTTAAAATGACATTAAGAGGATGATGTAGGAGGCTAGTGAGCTTCTTGAGGAGCTCGGTTTCAGATATCAGGTAAATGGTTAATTATCTATACTTCTAAAATTTTTCAGCAATTAAACATAAACAAATGGGTACCGTTTGAAACAGATGGCCACCTGTACAGATTAACTAGACAAATTCACTAAGGAATATACTTCACTTCTGCCCCATAGAAGAGAATATTAAAAGCAAACAAACTGTCGGCCGGAAACTAGTGAATTGTTGGCTTTGGGTTTAATTTTAATTATCACGACAGTTTCTATGACACAGCAGTTTCCTGTCGGTACAGAGAAGCAGAAAGGCTGGTGAGACCCATAAAAACTCACACTGCTGACCCCAAGCAGTCCCTTGCACCAGAGCCATCTGTGCTGCCACAGTGGTGGGGCGGGGGCTGAGGGGTGGGGGGGTGGCAGAAACACCTGGAGTTGGAGTGAGAGAGCAGGGGTCCAAGTCCTGACCCTGTCCTCACCGGTTATGATGCTAATAGTTAAGGCCAGTGTTCAGAGGGCATTTATTCAGTGCCAGGCACTGTCCAAAGTGGTAGATATATGTTATGTCATTTAAACCTCACAACCAGCCTACATAGTAGGAATTATTATTATTCTAATCTGACCCAATTTCCCATTGCCCTCCCAAACCCTGGGCCTTGTGGAGCTCCCTGTCATGGACGAGCATCCCGGTGCCCTCAGCCTCTTCTCTGAACACGTCCTTCACCTTCCTGCCCTAACTGAGACCCGAGTGCTTCCTGAGAATACCATGTCTTGCAGCTCTCAAGGTGGAAGTCCATGTCCCTCCAGCCTTTGCTCTCCTTTGCTGCTTCTGAATCGTTTCTCTTTCATTCTCCTTCAAAGATCCCAACTCCTTTGGAGATCATGTCATTAGATTATACCACCAACCCCTCTCCATTGCAGTTACACACTGACTCCTTCATTACTCGCTTCTAATTCATTAAAGCTGTCAAACGTGGCTCGTATTCTTTACACTTCTGCTCCTGCTGACTTCACTATCCGGGTGATTAACCCTACCAACAGCTTGGCCTAATCCTTAATCTACTCTCTTGCAATGACCTCCTTCTCCTCTCTACCTTAACCAAGCAAACCTTTATATAACCTTGCCCTTGACGTCATCATGAATCACATCGCCTCTGAAATTTCAGTCTCAAGAGTCCAGTTATCCCCTTACATATTCCCTGCTCAGGTATTCTAATTATCTCCATATCACAAAATTTGGCCGCACCGAGGTCGCCAATCCGCTGGCCTCAGTTTTTGTTCTATTTCCATCACTACTCCTGTCCTCACTTCTTTGTTTACTCAGCTTGGATTCCGTCCTAATGAGTCCAAGTCCATCATTAATGATACTCCTTTAAAAGCATCGAGACTCATTTTCTGACTCTTCCCCTGGGGTCGTCAGAAAATCTTTGGTTCTGGTTAAGCCTAACCGCCTGCCGACTCCTCGTCTGCACACAAGCCGCGGAATGGACTGGAGAGAAACACAGAACTAGGCTGTTGGTCTCACCTTAGGTTTAAGGCCACACACCTAAACTAGGTTTGTGTTTTTCCAGCTCCGCTATCATCTTTTTTTTAAATTTATTTTTAACTACAGTTG